GAATTGTAAAGTACTGAAGCTCTGAGTTTATGCATGATACTTTTCAAAATGTTCTTTCCTTATTAGGTTGCTTGAATTTTTTTTATATGAATGGGATCCCTCCAGATCAGCTTTAGCTAAAACTATTGTTCTTCTGAGAATCTCATGTCAAATGAGAGAAAAATTTGGGTTTATGTCATATTAATGAATCGTAAACTTGCTCCTTTATTGTCTTTGTGATGTCTTTGTATTAATTATCTAAAAGCTAATAATGAAAATTACATTGCCTGACATTGCTATATTCACTTAAAGGGAAGGCTATTTAATAGTAGATAGACATGTTTAAAGAAAAACATTAGAGGCCAGGGAGATGGCTCAGTAGAATAAGTGCTTGCCTGGTAAGTGCAAGGGTCTGAATTCAATCCTCAGTTCCGCCAAAAAAAGAAAAACATAAATGGTCCTATTCTTATGGCTCTACTCTGCGAAGACTTTCAAACTAAGGCTGATTAATACCATAACATCTCTGATCTCCTTCCCATCTTGCAAGATGGCAGGTGAAAAAAATGAGAAGCCAGACACTAAAAAGAAGAAACCTGAAGCCAAGAAGGTTTCTGCCAGTGGTACTGGTAAAAAGGGTAAGGTGAAGAACGCAAAAAAGTCCAAGAAGGGGCAGCCCAACTACAGCGGAAATCCTGTCCTGGTTAGAGGAATTGGTAGATACTCCCGATCTGCTATGTATTCCAAAAAGGCTTTGAATAAGAGAAAGTACACAGCTGCTAAATCAAAGGTTGAGAAGAAAAAGGAGGAGAAAGTTCTTGCTACAAGCACAAAAATCGGTCGGTGAGGACAAGAATGGAGGTAGCCGGGTGGTTAAGCTTCAACAAACGCCTAGATACTACCCTACTGAAGATATGCCCCAAAAGCTCTTGAGCCACGGCAAGAAAGCCTTCAGTCAGCATGTGAGGAAAGTCTGAGCTAGCATCACTCCCGGCACCATCTTGATCATCCCCATCGGGTGTTACAGAGGCAAGAGAGTGGTTTTTCTTAAGCAGTTGGCCAGTGGTTTACTACTTATGACTGGGCCTCTTAGTCTTGGGTTCCTCTAGGAAGAACACACCAGAAATTTGTCATTGCCATCTTTACAAAAGTTTGTATCAGCAAAGTGAAAATCCCCAAACACCTCACTGATGCTTACTTCATCAGTGAAGTAACCTGCAGAAACCCAGATACCAGGAAGGCGAGATCTTCGACACTGAGAGACAGAAATACCAGATTTCAGGGCAGTGCAAGGTGGATCAGAATGTGGTGGACTCACAGATTTTAGCCAAAAATGAAAGCTGTTCCTCAGTTCTGGGGCTATCTGCAATCCGTTTTTGCTCTGACAAATGGAATTTATCCTCATAAATTAGTGTTCTAAATCTCTAAGAATCTAATTAAATAACTGATGCATTTAAAACAAAATACCACAACATCTCTGAATTATAACATTCCTGGTTAAACTTCTCAAAGACCCTCACTGGATTATGGTCTGGTCATCTTAAGATATTTCACCGTATGTCTGTTTTTACTGACCCTTACCCACAATAGATCTGTTCAAACCATTTCTTTTCTCAAGGGCTGGGGTTCGATCCACAGCATGACATCCACATTGGCCCCACCCCCGGAGCACACTGAGACAGTGACTGAGACTGGGCATGGTAGCACAGGCCTGTAATCCCAGAGCTTGGGAGACTGAGAACAGGAGGATCACTATGAGTCCGATCTCTGTAGTGAGACCCTGGAGACCCGTACTAAATATGTTTAAAAAAAAAATGCAAAATCTATTTGTTTTCTGAGTTTAAGTACTAAAGCCCTCCAAATCTGTCTCTGGATTGCTGGCTATTTTAATAAACTTGATACCCATTTCAAAGCAGCAAACATTTTGAGTCACTAGCATACCTGCTGGTAGAGTTGAGATTTTTTTTTTAATATTTTTATTTTGCTTTTGATACAGGACCTTGCTATGCACTCACTCACTATGAGTGATCCTCTGTCTCAGCCTTCCCAGTGCTAGGATTACAGGTGTGCACCACCATGCCCAATTTCGGGGCTGGCATGGTATGCAGTACTGGGGCTCGAACCTGGGTCCTTGCGCTTGCCAGGCAGACAATTATGCCACTGAGCTATCTCCCCAGCCCAAGAGCAAGATTATTTTACTATAACATTCTATGTGAGGAGCTATGAACAATATGTACTTGCAATAGAAGAAAATTATCCAATAGAAGATCAAATTTAATTGTTAGTATTGCCAACACAAAGACTACTTGGGGGCTAAAACTGGCAATGATGTGCCTCTCCCCTCCTCTCTTCATTGGTTTTCTTCTTCCTTTAGGTCAACAGGTCTTAGCCAAGGCAGAATCACTTGGGAGATAGATAAAAAGCCTCACTCCACCCCAGGAGACTGGATGGCAAAAGTATGCAGCACATGGTTTTGAAAAACAGACTGTGAAGAAGTTTTGAATTATTATCTGGTAAGTAACTACTGCCTTAAGTAAAATTCTTATGTTTTCATAAACAATATATAAACTAAAGGCTGGAGAGATAGCTCAGTGGAATAAGCACTTGCCTGGCAAGCGAAAGGACCTGAGTTCAATCCCTGGTTCCAAAAAAAAAAAAAAGAAAAACAATATATAAACTATTAATGTTCAAATGCCACTGCTCAATAAGGAAAAACAAATCTAAATAATCCATAGATTGTTTCTTCCCTACTGGTCCTTCCATTACTAATCTTTCAAATAACAAATTATATTTTTTTCTTTTTTCTTTTTTTTTCATGTATTTGGTACAGGGTCTCACTAAGTAGTTCGGAGTGACTCTCCTGTTTTCAGTCTCTCCAGCACTAGGATTACAGGTGTGCACCACCACACCATGTCTCCATGGCTGTTTCAGTGTGCACTGGGGACACAGCCGTCACAGCATGTGGTGCTGGGGACTGAACTCTTGTCACTGAGCTTGCCTAACAGGTGCTTAGTGTGCTGATTTTTTTTTTTTTTTTTTTTTTTTATTTAGTGCAATGTCTACAGGGTCTACCGGGTCTCACTACACAGGTGGACTTGTAGTGATTCTCCTGTTTTCAGCTTCCCAAGCACTGGGATTATAGGTGCGTGCCACGATGCTCAGTCTCAATTGCCATCTCAGTGTGCCCCAGGGGCCAGCACAATAGGCCAGGGATTGAACCCTGGCTGCTGCGCTCTGCCTAAGCAGGTGCTTTTAATCCTCTGAGCTATCTGGCCAGCCTGAAAAGTAGATTTTTCTATCCCATGAAATATCCTCCACTTTACAATGACCTAAACTTCTACTCACAGATTAAGGCATCAGTAGGCACAGCTACATGGTCAAGGACAGCAAACCTATGGAATTAGATTGCCAGAGAACACCTGACCCCTCACTGAATAGATGACCTTAGAAAAAGTGTTTTATACCTCAAGTTTCTATACCTATGAGTAGGGGTAGTGACTGTGAGGATCTTAAGAGAGCTGTTGAAGAGAATTAACCAAAACAATTCATGTCACATGTTTATTTTGCATTTAACACAGCAAGTATTTCCACCTTAACTTACTTCCTTATCCTTCACTTGATCACAGTGCTTCCCACCATGAAAACAAAGTAAAACACAGAAACCAAAGTATTTTCCCACTAGAGGGAGAACTGTAAAGAATGTATTACAACTTTGGACTTCATGGTTTCTCCAAGTTATAAATCTAATTTCCCAAATCAGAATTATGTACATAGTATTTTACTTTTTATTCCCCTATTATTGATCACATCAATACTTGAAGAACAACTAAGGGCCTCTGAAAATTTTAGGAAAACTTTGTATCTCAGTCAACGTATAGCACTGGTAGGCAATAATGAACTATAGTAAATATTTAACAATTACCTTATTTTAAAATAAGCAACAATCAATAAGCAATTAAACATAAATCTTCTTGAATATGTAAATTAAGACCTGATTGTTTTCCACAAAGTCCCTAAATAGGTATTTTAATAAGCCAAAAATTAAAAAAAAACTTTAGAGTTTATAATTCTAGCTTTTAATCTTATTTCTGAAAATGCAGTCTTGCGCCTTATAGCAAAAAGTGACTGTAATTTCAGGCTCAAATTCAAGATGTCCATGAACAGCTTTAGAACTAAGCTTAAACTACATCAATGGGTCATCAAAATGAAGTAATCCTCCAACAGAGCTGCACTCAATAACTAAAGGCCAAAGAAAGTCACTATAATTTTTTTTTTTTTTTTGTGGCCAGCTCAGCCCAACCTGGGGGTGGGGCTGGCACAGCATGTGGTGCTGGGTGGAGATTGAACAGCAGTGCCTGCGTTTGCCTAAGCTTCCCTAAATAGGCACTCTAAACCGCTGAGCTATCTCCCCAGCTCTAGTCATTGTAAATTATAACCTTATAACTTACATATCTTAAATATATGTAAGTTATTTAGATCAAATATTATTTGTTATTCACTAAATGTGACACAGTATATAAGACGCTCCAAATGAATACCTACAGGTTGTAGCCAATAGTCTGTTCGAGAAGTTCTTTTCTTTTCCTCTTCAATCTATAAAATATATGAGACATTCATAAGACTATCTCTTTAAAATCCTTAACTTAATTCAAATTGGTCTTTTATTTAGCAAAATAACACCATAAAACCCATATTCCACCAGGGACTAATGACATAATTTTCAAGCTTTGATAAATACAAATAAACATCATCTGTAAATAGTTTTTGACTGGAAAAGAAACCCTGAATATCGACAGAATGTCATTTAAAAAAAAAATTAACCCAGAAAACAACAAAACACAACACAGCAAAACCCCTATTTAGTCAATACCGCACAGCCATCTGCCGGACCTCCTGTACACCTCCCATGTCCTGTCCTCCCATGTGAATATCGTGAGCTGGAAACACGTGACATTTTCATGCGGTAACAATACATGGGGTCAACTGAGCACAGCAGTCAGGGAGGTGGTCTGTCAGCAAAGAGAGGTTCCCTATTGACAATGATAATAAAACTCATAAATGAAGGGAGTGATGCAAATAAAAAGGGGACCAACCAAATAAAGTGCTGTCTGGCTCTCAGGGCTATAGTGTATATTACAACTTCTTTTTCCACTGCTTAACCCTATGACAACTTGCAATGGGATCCAGTGAAGTTATTCTTTAGTTCATTCCAAAGCTCATTTTAACTTCTTCAACTTTCCAATACTGACAGAGTATTATTATTATTATTATTATTATTATTATTATTATTATTATTATTTTGCAGTACTGGGGATTGAACTCAGGACCTGTGCTTGCCATACAAGCACTTACTATACTGAGTCATCTCCCCGGTCCCTGACAGAGTATTATAAATTTAGTATGTATCGTACTTCAAGTAGGTAGATCTGGCTTTTAACTAAAGTTTAAAATTCCTAAGGCATGTGAGACCTCTACACTGTTGCCCCTATTTCTCTTATTTTACATGTTACTACTACAAGCTTGGTATGCTCCAGCCACTTCACCTGAGATCTTCTCTGCCTTTTCTCCCCAGTCCTTCACCATATTCCTCCGTAGCACTCAGCTAATTGTGCAATTTCTTATTTACTCATTTACTTCAATGTGGAATGGCTTCTACACCAGGATGAAAGCTCCATGGCAAACAAGACTATTTTTATCTCTATAATACAGATCTGGGACTGTGTATTTCCTATTACATAATAGCAACCAATCATCAATGCATGATGGAATGACATCGTTTCTTTTTTCTTACATCCATCTTATCTTTTATTTTATTTTAATTTTTTTGTATTTTAGGGAAGGGTCTACAGGGTGTTCAGGGTCTCACTAATAGATCGGACTTGTAGTGATTCTTATATTTACAGCCTCCAAGTGCTGGGATTACAGGTGCACACCACTATGCCCAGTCTCAATCGCTGTCTCAGCATGCCCCGGGGGCAGGGCTGACATGGCAGGCCCGGGGATTGAACCCCCGGCCCCTGTGCCTGCTTGCAGGTGCCTTAATCTGCTGAGCTATTTGGCCAGCCCTTATATTTTAAGCTTAAGCTTTCATACTGCTCTGCATAGTGTGAAGATTAGTAAGAGAACACAATTCCTTCACAAATGAGGAGATGGAACGACTTAAGGATGAAATAATAAAGGGGAAAAAGTTAGCTTCTTATACCCATTCTTTTTCTTTCCCTGACTTTTCTCATTTCTTCTTCTAAGTTAATAAATAATTCATTGATAAGGTTATGAGTTGGAAGACAAAAGGATATTTAGAATACATTAAAACTTTCTACAATTTACTTATAGTTTGGGGTAGATTTAAAGCCAAAATATGGCCCTACTATGGCTTGTGTCTAGAAGTCCCCCCAAGGCCTCACGCAATCATAGGGATTTTTTAAAGGTGGCTGGAGATAGTGTGTGATGCTGGGATTAAGGGTGTGTGATGAGTAAATCACTGCACTGACAGCTTGGCATAATTCTGGTTTGGAGTAAACTGTGAGTTCTATACCTGCCCTAGGGTAGTTAGCAGCATACAATATAAGAGACAGAAAATTTTGTTCCTTGCTTTTGCTGTCTTCTGATGACATGGACTGGTTCTTTTCTGTGTTACCCCTCTGCCAGGGCCACCCTGCCTTGGACCCAGCTGATTATTATGGACTGAAACCTCTGCAAACTGTGAGCTAAAAAATCTTTTCTCCTTTAATTTCGGGTATCTGGTATCTTGTTTCAGCAATGAGAGAAAACTAAGACAGGCCCCAATTCCAGACAATCATGTATATTCAATGATTCATTACATACTTAGTCACCAGGATAAAACAATTAAAAACACATCCCAGCTTTCTCTTGCTAGCTTAGATGTGCTATTTGGACATCAGAGACAACAGAAGAGTGTGAGCTGGAGGACACAGGACATCCACAGAAGAGCCCATTTCAGTAATCACTAAGCCCTTCTACTGAACACTGCTGACCTAATCGCAGTGAGTTTCAAAGACAGCACTCGGGGCAGGGACATAAACATACTGGAGAGGCTCCAATTCTGTCCAGATGAAGCAGCACTAGGCTTCTTTCCCTAAGCTCATATACAAATACCTGCATAAGTTTATTTTAATCTAATAGATAGTAAAACTTCATAAGTTCCCTTAGGTTTGAATTATATCATTCCTCTTATTGCCAGGTGTCTATAAATAGCTCATAAACCATACCTCCATGATTTCATCCAGTGCTGATTTCTTTTTCTTCTTTTCTTTAGACTGAGCTGAGCTCTGGGAAGATTCTTTTCGTTTCACTGATGCCGTACTCCCGAGAGTCTTCAGTGCACTTGGCCCCAAGGAACTGATGAAAAGAACCATGCACGTTCATAAGAACAACACACAGATACAAGTCTGACAATGGACAAAATTAACAATACACAATAAATGTTACATGGTTCATTTAGGGAAGACCAGGAAGAGGAGAAGAAAGGAGGCCCTGTCAACATCTCTCACTGGGCCATCAGCACAAAAGAACACTGACCCTGTCCTGTCATTAATTTACCTTTTTGTTAATGCTGCTATAATTAGTATATAACTGAATGGTAGTAGAAAAGGCTTCATTTTGGGGAACAGCAGGATTTGAGACTTTTGTGTTAGAACTCCTAGAAATTTACTTTATAAAGCCTCAGATCCTCATGTATACAGGGGAGTAACAATATGATCCAACCCTTAGCTTCAATGCACAGATCCAATGAGATGCTTTTAAATTATTGGTAAAAGTTTAATACATTACTGTAAGTTCTACTTTTGTAAAAGCAAAAACTTCAATGTGCCCAAAGGTTTTTATTATTCTGGGTTGTCTCCTGTTGATAGGATAAATTTTAAGTTCTTTGGTGCCCACATATAATGGTTACCAGAACACTGCACTGGTCACACTGAGTAATTTGCTACTAACTGGACTGTGCCATGTGCTTCAGACCTCTGAACGCCTGTGTATGTCTTGTTTTATACCTATAAGTAATCACTTGTTAAAATTCTTTATGAGGGAAAAAAAAAAATAAAAACAATAAATTTTTTTATGAATCATTGTTCATGAGGGTTTCTGGATGTTGCAGTTTGTCCTGCCATAGCACTGTGTGGCATGAATCACACTCTACCTTTTTTTAAAGTTTAAATATTTACATGATTTTTATCGTTGCTTACAAGAATTTTTAAATTATTTGTAGAATCCATGCAGTAACACATGAAACTGAAGTCCACTGCTTTAGGTACTGTCTGTGGCTGAACGTATCTGATGCTCAGCAAACAGTGTGCAAGAAGTCCTTGCCTGTCATCTGCATCTGTAGCTCTCATCCATGTTCATCTCCCAGGAAGCAAAAGAATCCAGCTGATGTTTCAATAAATAATCAAATTGCCAAAACAATAACCTAAAAACTCCTTCCATGGACCAGAGATCCAAGAAAAAGTTTTGATGAATGATTCCCAAAATCTTTCTTCAGTCCAATGAGATAATGTAGGAGTGCTACTTCCACTCCTGGTTATGATCCCTGTCTTACTCCTGCTGCTGGATGAACTAACACGAGTAACGCTTTTGTGGCGGTTGGTGGTGGTAACAGACATACTGCTTGCTGCTAAGGGGGAGGTGAGAAAATACAAAAATACAGGTGTGCAGTGCTGGGGATCCACTGGAGAAAGGGAAAAACAACCCAAACCTGGCAAGTCTGATGGCACTCTTGATGTTGGTGTGGCGGAACAGCACTGAATGGTCTGTTAATTTTGGTAGAATAGCAGCACAATCAACCGAAGTCACACTGGGCACCCTTACAGAAGACAGCTGACACATGAGAACTCCTATGGGTAGGTTGCTCTGTGCTTCTGACATAAAGATGCATTTCCTTTTGGCAGGAGGGTCTTCCTCTTCACCAGAAGAGCTTTCTTTTATTAAGTAGATAACGTCCACTTTCTTCTTGCTTGCCTCCCTGGCTACAGTAACTGAACAAGGTTTACTGAGGATACTTGAACTTTTTTTTTGGTATATGGCTGGCTAGATACTTTCATAGCTTCTTTCTTTAATCTCACCAGACACTGTTGTGATTAGGGGTTTTTGCAAGGGGAACAATACAATATAGGACACATATAAAATTATTTTATAATGAATCACCCAAAGAATCATATACAAAGAGTGCAGGAAATCCATCCACATAGTAAAGGCCAAAGAATCCAGCAGAGGGCCTGGATCCTAATATCCTGCTTGAGTCTAGCTGAAAACCTAGAGCTTATAACAATGCTACTCAGAAGCCTAACTGGAGACCTAGAGCCCAAAACAATGTCTTATGCAGGCCTGCTTCACAGATCTGCACTAGAAAGGTGCAAAGAAGAGGCTAGCTAGCTGCTGAGCTGCTGCCACTTCTTTTGCTCTTTGCTGTCACCATGAAAGGTTGCTCTCTGCCATGTGCCATGCTGCCTTGGAGCCAGCTGAGTATAGACTGAAACCTCCACAAACTGTGAGCTAAATAATCCTGTCCTTCCTTTATTTTGGGTGTTGGGTATTTTGTCCCAGCAACAAGAATAAAGTAACTGAGACATAAGGTCACCAGTAGAATAGTTCAAGAGAACCAGCAACTCCTCCAAACAGCTTCCCTACAGCCTCTCAGCAGCTCCTGTAGTTCTGCCTTTCATGCTGCTGTCAACAGCTCTCAGGTGGGCCCCTCACACCCAGCACCATGATAGGTCAGTTCAGCTCGGTATTACAAGTTGACCTCCAGTTTTGGGTTTTTTTTTTTTTTTTTTTTTCCATAATTTTATTGAGAAACAAATAGCAATGAGACAGTTTCAAACCAAATTGGTAGGACAGTTTCAATAATTAAAACATTGCATACATTCTTCCTAGTGGTTAATTGCTGTACAAGATGTGGACATGATATCCTATTTGCAAACACTATTAGAACAAATCCCTCTATTCATTAAGAGAATGTAACTATATATCTATCCTAACCACTTTGAACACACAGATACAAAACATTCATCTGTATCCCCTTTTTTTAAGTTGCATTATTTGAATATTATAGGTGTGTTAACTCAGCAAAATATTCTAAAAGAGTCCAGTAGCCCATAACAGTATAGGGTCTTCTGCTTGACTGGCAATGTCAGAAATTGTTGACCTGAGTCCCCTATAGCTCAACATAACAGCATGGCTTTACTTCTTATATTTCGTTTTTATACTTCTCTACTGTCCAGTTTTGTTTTGTTTTGGCAGAACCAGGAACTGAACTAAGACCCTTGTGCTTGACAGGGAAGTGCTTATTCCACTGAGCCATCTCCCTGGCCCCTGACCTCCAGTTGACAATCCACACCAGACACCAAGAAGATGTTCTTGGACTTTGATCTCATCCACATTAGAACAACTGTTGAGAATTTCCATAAAGTCCATCTAATATTAGACTTCTGCAGGCAGCTTTTTAGACAATATGGCACAAATTTAGGTGGCTTCCTCTCATCTACTGATAGCGGGCAGCATTGAAACACTGCAGATGTGTACCTATCCCCACACGACAACAGGAGCGCTAGTCTCAGTTTTCCAAGCGGGGACGTCACGGGCATCCTAAAACTAGCTATAGCAATTTTAGGATCAGGAATTGCAGTAAGTTTTTCTTTAATTAGTGCTCTGGAATAATCAGGATTTCTAATACCTCTCGTTTTTTAACCTCTATAATAACATGGCTGATGTCAGTTGTTGTAAAGGATATACAGACAAGGAAAAATTCTTTTCAATTTCAGATGCCAAAGAAATGGAAATCTGGTTTGGCACAGCTGTAGACAATCTAAAGATGTAATATCCAAAGGGCATCTAGGGTGCTTCTGCTCAATCCTATTTTAGGCAGTGGTGCCTAACCAGGAAAAGGAAACTGTTTCTTATTTACTATTTTTTGTTTTACATTGGGTCTCACTATGTAGTTCAGACTCTTGGTGATCCTCTTGTCTCCGTCTCCCCAGTGCTGGGATCACAGGCATGTGTGACCAGGCCCCGATTTGGGTTGACATGGCATGAAGTACTGGGGACTGAACTCAGGACTTTGTGCTTGCAGGCAGGCGCTTGTGCCACCAAACTATCTCCCCAGCACCCCTCCCATTTACTTTATACATAGTCTATTGGGATAGCTACCTCCTTGAGGACAACATGTTTCTATCAGGTGAAGTCTCAGCTGAATTTGAACTAATTAATCTTTCTGACCACTTGGCATATTGAACTTGGTAAAGTGTCAAAACAAAAATAAAAACTTCTCTTGAAATCCCTGAAAGCAGTTTTCAACCTGTGGGTTTTAAGAGACCATCAATGACATCATAGGACTGGGGATACAGCTCAGTGGCATAAGCGCCTGCCAGGCAAGTGCAAGGTCCCAAGTTTGATCTTTGGTGGACATCATAAAAGGGCAAGTTTTAAAACTGGACATCAGGATGGAAAAAAGAAACTGGAGATGGGTGCTGTTTCTCAAAGTGGGCTTAATATACCGAAGTAGCACAGAACCAACAGGAGAGGATAGTGAGTGAGGTGTGACTAAAGTAGAAGGCAATGAATGGATTCCAGCCACAGCCACCACACCCGGTTTTGGTGGACGGCATGGTACCAGGGATTGAACCTGGGTCCTTGTGCTTGCCAAGCAGGCGCTTAAACCACCGAGCTATCTTCCCAGCCCTACACTGTTATTCTATTCCCAATGAAATGCCATATTCTAGAGGAATTTTTACTGCACTACATAATAAGGCACAGTAAGTTGATGACCTACTCTCAGGAAATCACAATTGCACTGATAATTAACATTTGAACTGTGGGAGAGGGGCTAGTGAGATGGCTCAGTGGTCTAAAGCACCTACTTAGAACAAACTTAGCAAAGCACAGGGACCACGGTTCAATCCCCCAGCACCACATGCCAGTCAGATCCACCCCCTGGTGGGCTGAGCTGGCCACACACACACACACACACACACACACAAAAAAATAAATAAAATTAAAACCTTTAAACTGTGGGAGGTAGGATGTGATAGAAAGTAAATAGCATTATGGCAATGCAAAAGGAACCATTCAATAGAGGACACTTCACAGAGAACAACACATTTTCAATGTGAAACATTTCATCAGGAGCCTTTTCAAGTCAGATGCAATGTTCTTTGCCTATAGTCTCAGCTATTCAGAAGGCTAAGGTAAGAGGACTGCCTGAGCCCAGGAGTTCCAGGGCAGCTAGGGCACACATAGATGAGATTCTCATCTCAAAAAAATAAAAATTTTTTAAAAAATGAGTCATTCCTCAAAAGAATCATTTCATCAAAAGGAAGTTAAAATAAAACTCCTAATCAAATAAGAAACACAAACTGAAACAAAAACTATAACCAGAAAGAAATGATTCACAATATTTTAAAGCATAGTAACCAATATTCCACAATGTTCCTTAATTTTTAAGATTTACTATAGCTCACCTTGATTTGGAAGATGCTGCTCCTGCTGAACTGCATGCGCCTTTATTCAGATTAAATGTAACTAGAAGAAAAAATGGTAAATATATATATATTTGTTTGGGGGAGATCATAATAAAACTTCTCAGATAATATTCCTTAGGTAGTCACACAGGAATTCAGACATTTTTAATAAATAAAACTAGAAAGCTCCTCTCCAGAGACATTGTTGTGAGAGGTCTGTGGCTGATGCCTGTGGAGCTGAAGGACCTCACACACTGTGCCCCAGCAGACAACACTGGCTGTTTGCCACTCCAAGCCCCAATTGCCCTTGCTAATGGTCCTCCTGCCCTGCTTAGGTGTCCACACTTCTGGCCAGTGGTGCAGGGATAGAACACATTTCTTAGCTATAGGGTATATTCTGGCTGTCTAAAGCAATCAGTATAATCCCTGTGACTGCTTTTATGGTAGACGTGGATGCAGTTCTGGAAAATGACATTCAAAAGAAGTTTACTAGAAAGAGCAGTGTCTTCTAGGAAAAGCTTCCTTGCTTTTATGGGACTCCAGAAGCTCTGCCACCCTTTGGAAAAAGGTGAGTCTGGATGTGATGGGCTGAAGAGCAGCTACCCTATGTGTCTTCTCTTCTGATATTCTTATGATAGTAAGAAATTTCTTTACCATAACTAATTTCATTCAATTTTGTTACATGTGTCTGAAGTCATTCCTCTAATTCATATTACTTTTTTGTTTTAAAGATAAGGACAGTGTAACTCTGACCGAGTAAATGTCTTGTTCCCAGATATGCTTTTAGCTTTTAGCAAAGCCAGAACAAAAAACATCTAAACTTCCAAAAAAGTTAAGAAGGAAGGAAAATTTAAACTACCTTTCTCTTCATCATTTTCTCTGCTTAATTCCGTAAAGACAGGTGCCTCCTGAAAGAGAAAGAGTTTGGAGATCAGAGCATTTTCTACAACATCCATAGTCAACAGTTTATGGTAAGGGCCGGCCAAATAGCTCAGCAGAGTAAAGCACTTGCAAAGCAGGTGCAGAAGCAGGGGGTTTGATCCCTGGGCCTGCCATCAATGCCCCACCCTCAGGGTACACTGAAACAGCAATTGAGACTGGGTGTGATGGCATGTGACTGTAATCCCATCTCTTGGGAGGCTGTGAGCAAGTGGATCACTACAAGTCCAATCTAGTAGTGAGACCCTGAACACCCTGTAGACCCTTCCCCAAAATACAGAAAAAAAAAAAAAGGGAAAAAAACCAGTTTGTTAGAACCTGCTACCTCTGTTAGGAAGCAAACTCTAAGGTGACTACGATCCTAAAAAAAACAATAACAACAAAAAACAAACAAAAAAAAAACAAAACACGCACAGCAGGTAGTCTCCTATTAATAGTTACTCTATAGCAAAAACAGGAAGTTTTAAAATACGAAACTGCAGAAGCCTGCCTACATTTTTTGCTTTGATTAGAATGTAAACAGTAATACAACAAAAAAGTCAACAATCTTTTGTAAAATTATTTTAAAAAGCAAAACCTTTCCAGGGGCTGGAGATTTAGCTCATGGTAGAATACTTGTCTACCAAGTGGGAGGCTGGTCCACAGCATCAAAAAAATTCAAAAACTTAAAAAAAAAAAAAAAAAATGCAAAGCAAAGAAAGAAAAACCCTTTCTGTACGTAGGATAGTTTAGTATAATGACTGAGTGCTTAAGACTAAACTCAAAACTGTGTATCATACCTACCTCTCCAACTAATTAGCTTTATAATCCCTTTTAGTCTTGGTTACTTGATTTTTTCACATGGGATAATGTACATATGGAAGAGGACTCAGAACTACTGACTGTATGTAAGAGAAGTCATACTGGTTAATCTTAACAGTCAGCTTGAAGAAACTCTGGGCAGTGACTGGATTGTGAGAGCACACTTTCATGCCTCAGTGTCACCTAAAATGTCCTTTTTAATATTTACATCATTTAGTTAATCCTAAATTTTACTTTTATGAGAGAGAAGTCAATAGAACAGATCTCTAACCCTATGAACATATACCACCATCTTAGAAAATAATCTGGACGAGTCTTTCAGTTGTATTATCTGTGATGCTATTTACACAGTAATATAAATAACTGAGACAGAATTTACAGAGCTTAGGGCCAGGGATATAGTTCAGTGGCTTAAGTGCCTGCCTGGCAAGTGCAAGGTCCCGAGTTCGATCCCCAGTACTGCAAAAAATAAACAAACAAAAAACACAATTCTAAGTTTTGGTTGGGGAGATAGCTTGGTGGTCTAAGTGCCTGTCTGGCAAGTGAAAGGACCTGGGTTCAATCCCTGGTACCACTTGGGTCTGAACTGTATGACAAGACCTTATGCCAAATAAATAAATAAATGATTTTTTTTTATTTAAAGAATTCATACAACTTGGTCAGATAAGACTAGTATTTTACTAGCAATAATATCAAGGCTTGACACAAGAGTGCAGCAGTCTGAGTAGACTCATAGGTATCAGGTCCTCACCTGTGAAACCTATAAATGTTAAGTCTTAAAAAAAAAAAAGGAAAATCAGAGTATGTTACAGATTTTGACATGAAGAGATGATCTCATCTGAGTAGACCTTAAATGTTATCTCCTCTGTTAAGAGGGAAGTAAAAGGGGCTCTGACACATGGAGGAGGTGTTACAGTTTAAACATGAAAGGGCATTGGTTCTGACTGTTTTCACTTCCTTTGAATCTTCCTAGCTCAGTGGCTGGTCTCTTTATCCCTAGGGAATGATCTCACCCCCTCCCTAAGAAGCACTCCTTTATTGCATATTTTTAAACTACCTTTATTTTCCACTAAAAATTATTCTTCACCTTTCCCTTCTTCCTAACCACCAGAGATATATTGATGCTCCTTTCCCAGCCAGCCCCTCCACCAAGATTCTTGAATCTATCTGTTTTCATGTCCTTCAGGTCACTGGATGGCTTGGTCTACTTTTCTAACTTTAGTCTCCCTGAGTTATTTGTGTATTTTTGTCTTCCTTTTCTTCTGTATAAAATATCTACCTAAATAAAAACAAAATATATTGGAAAAAAATAAAAAAAAAAATCTTGAGGAGCCCCTCAAAGACTCACACTATGGGTGCTATCCCCATTAAGGGGTTATGCTATTCAATGAATTCAAAACTGAATGGACTACTAGGAGGTGGGAACCGCTGGAGAAATGGGTCAGGCGTGCGACCTCAGGGACTACATCTGGTCCCAGGCTTCTTCCTCTGCAGTGCTCTTTGCTTGCTCCCTGCTCCCTAGATGCCATGACCTGAGCAGCTCTCCTCTGCCATGGTGGTGCAGTCTTGGAGCCAGCCGAACATGGACTGTGACCTTCTGAAACTGTGAGCCCTGAACAAAGCTTTCCTTCTTCATGTTGTTGATGTCAGACATTTTGTCCCAGCAAGTGGAAAGATGAGCAATATGAAGGATTGAACAGAATAAAGAACGTAGGAAATACTCAGCAGAGTATTCTCTATGGTTAGTGGTCTATAAATCTTAATTTGTTGTTTCCGCTAAATTAAAAAAAAAAATCTTTTTTTTAGTTTGTATTTAGTATAGGATCTACAGGGTCTCACTACACAGATTGGGCTCGTGGTGATCCTCCTGTTTTCAGCCTACCAAGAGCTGGGATTATAGGTGCACGCCTCCACACCCAGTCTAAAAAAAAGATATTCTTGAGATCTAACTAAAATGCTCTTTTCTCATGTAATGCCCATTTAAACATTCACATGGCAAGGCACGTGAACACAATCTTACTCATAGTGGATCGACATAAGCGTTGAATGAAGATGCACTGATCAGCAGGGCTTTCTTTACCTTCCTATAAAGGTAAGATTTATAGCTGTAAAGTATTAAATAACTTAAAAGTTTTATCAATAGTAACTAAAATGTTTTCAAACAATATTATTCCAAAAAGTAAACTATTTTCCTAACTTTCCTCTATGCAAGAAGATATACCTTCTTCCAAAAGCTACAACTCTTGTTGCATAGGTCCTGCTTTACCTTGGTCTTAAGCGTCCAGCAGAAAAGTATAAAAACGAAATATAAGAAGTAAAGCCATGCTGTTATGTTGAGCTATAGGGGACTCAGGTCAACAATTTCTGACAATGCCAGTCAAGCGGAAGACCCAATACTATTATGGGCTACTGGACTCTTTTAGAATATTTTGCTGAGTTTACACACCTATAATATTCAAAT